ATTTCTCATACCTGAAGGAGATAAATAAGGAGACCCTCAGTTCAATATGCTATACTTCATGTCTAGAACAAACAAAATTTAAGAAGGGAAATTATAAGGAACATTCCGTAAGCTACTTGGTGCTTATGAGCCAAACAAAAAAATCACCTTTTTCTCTCTTCATTTGGAATAGCCAGAGACACATTTGACTTGGTATTTTTCTACCTAGACCTTCAGAAGATACTCTCCCAACTCTGTTCTTGCCAATTTTGTCAATTTACTGTAATGAGTAGCCAAGATAACAAGGTCTAGTGATTTCTAGTGTATATTAATATCTATAATTAAGAAGATAATCTGCCACCTCCCTAACAAAATCATAAGATTTTAGGATATCCTATACATATTCACAATGTACACAGTCTTTACAACCTTCAAACCTATGTCTTACATTGCTCAAATTAGTACTGTCTCAAGAATGTGACACAGACCTACACTTTGAAAGACTACTTTTTTTGAAAAGAAAAACCACATTTGTATTAATATTTCTAATTTTGCTAATATCTTAATTTTGTCTTCAATCTTAACCCTAATTTTCTTCAGCCCAAACAGATTGACTAATGAAGGTCTGTATAGACTAGTGAATAAGAACACAGACTCGAGAGAATTCAAGTCTGGGCTGATTCACTGACAGAATATATTCAACCTACGCTCTCTTCGTCTGGAAAATAAGGAAAGCAAACTCTAGGATTATTTTACATTCTAAATGATTTAATACATAATAAGCCCACAGCATTGCACCTGCAGACAGTAAACCTCCAAATGTAATATCATGATAAGAGCAACATTAAAGACGAAAGAGGACAGAAGCTTTTTCCCCAACTATTTCTTAGGAATTTATGGTCCAATTCAAAGTTTGCCCATGTTTTGCTGCTACTCTAAAGATATTTACACTTTGTCAAGACTAAAATGTCAACAAAATTCAGGATACCCTAATAAACACATGAAGTCGAATTTGAACTATTTGGTTATTCCTCAACAGTAATATCAAGAGGAAATTGGCAGAGAAGTAACAAAATTATTTGCATATGACAGAAGAGTGGCAGGGTTGAAAGAGCATGGTACCGGGAACCAAGAGGCCTGCTTCTGGCCCCGTCTCTTCCTTCGACTGGCTGAATAATCACAGCAAGTCATTTACCTACTCTAGGCCACATACTCTCAATTCCCCAAAAAGGAACTTAGATTAGATTTCTAAGAGCTCTTAAAGAATGAGCATTCTGCCTTCTCGTACAGGAAAAGGAAAAAAGGGTGCTGAGTGGACATAGAAACTACAGAAACAGCAGCCGCAGCGTTCCGGCCTTTGCAGCCTGCGGAGGCCAGATTCCAGGGAAAAGCTATGCCTCCCAGTCACCTGTCTGCAATGCGCCTCTTGTCCACCCCTCTTTTCCATCCTGTTGCTCTCCACCCACTCCAACCCCTCAATAGAAAGCTAGTCTCTATGGCTGCGGATTCAAAGTGGCCTCCCTGAAACCCAATAATGCAAATATTTATATCCAGTCAGAAGAAATTCAAGTTTGCCATTCTCTTGTGTAATTATCTCAAAAGAAAGGTGGTAAAAGCAGAACAGAAAGGAAGAGCAAGTATGTGAATTTAAGTAGCAAGGCCATACTTTCCTGGTTCAAACAGAATAAAACAAGTTTATAACGCATAGAACCCCAAACTAAATTCAAAATGATGAGTGACACAAAGACTAAACAGAAACTATTTAAAGGTGGAGGTGGGTAGATTACAAGTGTTGACCAAAAAAGTTCAAAATCTATAAATGTAGAAGGAGGCTTTATTCCTAAAAAAGGGTACCGCAACCTCCAGGCAGGAAGTGGAGCCCTCAGAAGAAAGCAAGAATTGAGTGCTTTGAAGGAATTTAAGGAACAGGAATTTTTTTTTTTTTAAATTTCAGAATATTATGGGGGTACAAACAGGAATTTATGCTGAGCTGGCTGGCCAAATATGCATATTTAAAAGGCTATAGGAGGAGTCATGAATATTTATTAAAGGAGAAACATGCACAATTGAGCTTCCTGCTAACTTCATGGGTCCCATATTCAGAAAATTGTGGCATTAGCATGACACAAGGGAGGAGTTTTGGGCCCTCTGATATCAAAAGGTAAAGCAGAGGACATGAATATCCTCTTTGCTGCAGCCGCCTTAGACTGGTCAGAGATGCTCCATGGTTGGTGGTCTCTTATTAGGAAGAAATGCTGGTCAGCTGTGTTGAAACCACAAAAGGGAGGAGGTGATCAAAAGGCTGGTTGAAATCAGTGGTGGGGCAAGTTTTTCCAAAGGGCTGGTTTCTGTTTAGCCCTTAAGGAAGAACGCCGGATGATGCTTAGCAAGAGACGGGGTGCAACTGGGCATGTCTGACTGCTCATCCTGCCATGGCTGAGAACTCAATGTTAAGGTTTCTCTGGGTCCCCGTGGCCAAGAGGGGGTCTGTTCAGTCATTTGGGGGGCTTAGGATTTTATTTTTATTTCTCAAGAGAAAGTGATCATTTCACTTCAAGGTCATTCACACGTGAGAGGTTAAATATGTACATGCGAATATTTTAAAAGAGGAGAACATGAAGAATCACAAAAAAGACTAAAATGAAATACATTATAGCATCACAAGTGGTTCTCACTGACTTTTATTAAATGAGTCCGGAAAGAAGACAATCATGAGTTAAAGCAAATGGCTTAGTAGAGTATTATCAACTGTGTTCCACCCTGGCCAGAGTGATTAGGATTATTTCGAGAAGGGAATCTTGTCTCAGCCAGGCCAATGAAAGATATTTCAAGCTTTTTCTGATAAAATATTGAAAAGAAAGCTTTCTTTTTATTGGACTTGAAGCTCGGAGTTACCACATGGAGAATGACTGCCAAATTTTTCAAATCCAATATGCCTGAAGCATGAAGTCTTTTCCCTATAGCTTCTAATCCATGAGTACCATTAAATTCTTTTTTGTGCCAGTGTGTTATTAAGACTTCCCTAAATAATACGACTAGGCAACATTTATATATGCCTTTTATATATGCCATTTATATATGCCTTATATATGCCTTCAGACTAATCAAATGAGTTGTAAAGATGATTATTTAATATCATAATCCTTGATATGAAAAAAAAATACCAAGAAACAAAGTCATAACAATGGACTGACCCATAGATTTCCATAAAAGGAAAAGTATTCTTGGATCATATGTACATCAGGTCATCCTAATACACATACATGTATTTCATATTATAATACTCTAAAAGAATATGAAAGAGAGAAGGAAATTGCTAAGCGACAGCTAGTAAAGGATTTTAAAAAGCATAAATGAGATAAGAATTGAAAATTCTTCTGAAGAAATGTGTAATAGTTGAGAACATAAGTCTAGCAGAATACATTACTGGCAGTTGGGGGATCAACTCTAAGAATAATGTTTCTCAAACTCTAGCATGTGCAAAAATCATCTGGAAGCCTATTAAAATGCATATTCCAAGGATCCCTCAGAGAGACTATTAATAGTAGGTTTGAAATAAGTGACCAAGCCCACCCACCTATCCCCCACTCCAGATGGAGCAACAACGTGAGAAGAAACCATCAACAAGAGCACTGTTTCAGAGGAGAGGGAGCTTTTCCAGACATGTGGAATGTTTTTAATATCAAACAATTTGTTAAGAAATAAGAGTTTTCAGTCACTTGCTTGTAGTAAGAACATTCAATCTGCAAGTTACAACCAATTGGAAGGGTCCTGCAATCAATCTAGTGAGACCAGGAATATGGTAAAAGTAAAAAAGAATGGATCAGACTGTATGACACACACTAAGGTTAGTATTGCATGTTTGTTTCAGGTGTGGGTGTAGGAGATGATATAAAATGTATGTCTCTCTAGAATCGCAGTCAAAAAAGCCTGAAATCCACTGGTTTAGATTTATTAAGAAAAAGGTCTAATATAAAACCCTCCAAGTCAGATCTTCAACAATAAGGCTTCTATGAACTCTGACAAGGTCCATAGGGTCGTGGTCACTAGACCTTACAAGAACGGACTCACTTCTTGGAAAAATTTCTGAGATCTATGTGACATCTGGAGAAAAACGTCACAGTTTTTGAGCGTACAAGTTTTTCACATCCATGATTAAGTTTATTCCTAAGTATTTTATTCTTTCTGATATGATTATAAATGAAATTCCTTTCTTAATTTCCTTTTTGGATAATTCCTTGTTGATATATAGAAATGCAACTGATTTTTATGTTGATTTTGAATCCTGCAACTTTGCTGAATTCATTTATTACTTCTAACACTTTTTTTTTTTTGTGGAATCTCATAGGGTTTTCTAGATATAAGATCATGTCTCCTGCAGAGATAACTTTCTTTCCTCCTTTCCACTTTGGATACCGTTTACTTCTTTTCTTGACCAAGTGCTCTGATTATAGAAGCATAGGGTGAAACAGTGGCTGCCAGGGGCTGGGGCAGGGGAAAAATGGGGAAGTATTAGTCAAAGGGTACAAAATTGTGATTATACCAGATAAACGCGTCCTAGAGATCTACTGCACAGCATAGTGCCTATAGTCAAACATACTGCATTGTATACTAAAATTTTGCTAGGAGGATAGATCCTATGTTAAGTGTTCTTATCGCAAATAATGATGATGATAATAAATAAGAAAACAGAATGAAACTTTTGGAGGTGATAGATTTATGGCATAGATTGTGGTGATGGTTTCACACATGTATATTTATCTTCAAACTCACCAAGTTGTGTGCATTAATGATGTACAGCTTTTTGTATGTCAAAATTAAATAAGAATGCTGGGGGGAAATAAATTTTTTAAAAACTCATGAAAATAGTAAAGTATATGAAACATATAAAGTAGATGAAAAATTCATATACTTTAATTAAAAAATACTTTTTTTTGATTTTACTGGATACACTTTTACGCAATACAAATACTTTTAACTGGAACGTTTTCTACACACCATCTCAGATACCTATGCAAGCCTTACCTGAAAGTGTCTTTTGGTAAGAAACACACTGATGTCTCCACAAAGAAATGGCAGATCTCTCTCGATTCTGCAGTCCATTCAGTCTTTCTGCTAGCCCGCCTCTGTTTAATGAATTATAATGTATTAAGTTTAATTAAAAGAAAAACTATAGAATAATTAGAATATTCATATTTTATATTCCTCAACCAGAGACAAATAGATAAAACATGCAAAATTTTAATGTATTTTTGTTATATTCTCTTTGTAGAGGCCATATCCTCCTAAGTCAGACTTTAGGTTTCTTAGAAGCTCAGTTTCATGATTCTTAGGAATATGTACTAATATTACTTCCTAAGAATATCATATTTTTAGAAATATGATGGTTAAATATCAGCTTAACTCCTTGTTCTGTTCTTTCTTAGTTCACTTATTCCATAAGCATGTGCTGCTTGCTTATCACCTGCTATATGCTGGCACGTAGCACTTTGCTAGATACCAGGGACACAAAGATAGCCATGAGCTACCCCATGGGGCGCAGGAGGGCTCACAGTGGGTTCAGCAGATGGGGGCAAACATAAATGTAAAGTGGGTTCAGAGTTCCAGTCAAGAATAACCCTGCCAAACTGTTGATAGGTAGAACACTCAAATAAGAGCATTTAAGTATGGGTCCCTTATTTGGACTCTAGTGATATTTGAGAATCAATCACAAACACAGAGCAAATATACCAACATGATAAAAAAAAAAAAAAAAACTTCCATATACGACAGGAAGACAATTCATAGCAACGGGCACACAGGTACTTCACAAGAACCCTTACCTATCAATGAACATATATATTCATTGATGTGTATGTGTGTATATGTGTATATATATGTTTTTATAAATGTATGAAAGTATATACGCATTATAAATATATAAATATATATATATATATATAGAGAGAGAGAGAGAGAGACAGAGAGAAGTCAGCAATTCCTAACACATCTATAATCTCAAGAGAACTCAAAATCAATTATTAATCACCATTATGGCTACACGCTACATCAACATATTTCTCATAAGTTTATTATCTTATTACCAGTTCACTAATCATTTCACTACATTATCTTGTTTTAGTGAACTAATATTCCTTTGAGGTAGATAGAACAGATATCAATACCTATTGCACAGATGGCAACATCACAGAGTTTAGAGAGAGGTTAAGGCACTTCAATATCACATAACGAGCCAGATGAGGAACAAGCTGTTAAAACCAGAAAGGACTTACCACGGTGCCTGGCATTTAGCAAATCTTCCAGAAGTGCCAATGATTGCTGTTACTGTTTTTGTTACGGTATTTACTTGCACCCTATGCTCTTTCCACTATGACTGAAAGGTCTTATTTTAATACATATATATTATATATATTACCACTACTACCTAGTATGTTTTCCTACAGGCAGCGATTATTTCTGAATGTGTGTGCGTGTGTGTAGTATATATAACAGAAACATTTTTTAAAAAACACCTCATACTCAGAAATATGCCAAAGAACCTCTGCTTTACATATACGTCTAACCTCTACTTAAGGGTAAGCCCTTCTTTATATCATTCTGTTTACATGAAATAACTCATTTATACTCCTCTAGACAACAATGAAGTAGGTACTACTATTATCCCCACTTTACAGATGACAAACTGATGCAGTGAGACATTAACACCTGTCCAAAGTGAAGTGTCTAGTGAGTGGCGTAGCTGGGTACACACTCAGGTAGTCTGGCTCCAGAGTCCGCACTCTTAGTTGATAATATACAGACCACGTCTTAAAGAATACTATTTAAAATGATATTCATAATACAATACATACAAGAAAAAAGCAAAACACTATATTCTTTGCATAATTATCTAGATTAGATAGACAATTCATTGCCAAATGTTGCTTTTCAGTGCTATAACTTCACAGAGGGTAAAAAAGCAAAATAGAATCTGAAGATAGTATCTGGTTAAGGTCAAGCCTAGAACTCCAGAAGAAAACCGTAGGAATTTCAAGAAGAGAGGTAAAAGCAAGAGTAAACCTGATCACAAGAGTTCTCTACACATGGGAGTACCTGGAGCCCCTCAGGTAAAATCTGCATCTCCAGCTGAGTTTGGGCAATGGGGCCTATCCTGCAGGGAATTTGGGCCAGATGCACTTGAATTTAAGAATGGAAATACCACGTTCTCTAATAGATAATCCCATTTCTAGTAAAAACTTATCCCATGTTAAAAAACAGAAGTCACATAGGAAGTTCAGGAAGGCCTGCCATCTACACCCATATCAACTCTTCAATGTGGCCAGCCAAATTATTCACAAAGTCCAAAACTCCAAAGGAATGAAAATATGAATTCACTGAGCAAGTTAAGATATCCTAATATCTTTTCTACAAAATTAACAGATTGGTAACCTATCTCTAGCACAGCCCTTTCTAGTCAGTTCAGTAAAACAAAGTCTTCCAGTTTGAAGGCCTGAGACTGACAACCCTAAGCACACCAATTTCATTTTTGATATTTAAATGCAGTAACTTTAAAAGGGTGGGCATAAAATAGACCTCCTTAGTTTTTCTTAGAAATCACAAGAAGAAAACTATTATTTACATATTGTTGGAGCTGCTTCAGCCACTTCCATGAATGAATGTTCTCTTCACCACCTTTTTTTTTTTTTTTTGATACAAAGTCTTGCTCTGTCACCCAGGCTAGGGTGCAGTGGCATCAGCCTAGCTCACAGCAACCTCAAACTCCTGACCTCAAGCGATCCTCCCGCCTCGGCCTCTCAGAATGCCAGGTTTAGAGGCATGAGCCACAGCACTCGGCCTTCATCTTCTTTTGACTCCCAGGCAGTGGCCTTCAGTCACGGTGCTGTGTTCTCTCCCCTGCCCTCTCATGGGAAGGCCTGGCTGTTTACTGCAGTTTTCCAGACCATCACGCACCCTCGCTTACACTCCAGTCCACCCAGTCCTGGGCGGACACTCCCTAGTGCTGTCTGGGTACCTTCAGAGGCCTTCTCTCCTGGCCAGCCAGGCTCCAAGACGATGTCCTCCACCTACCCCCAACCCCCAAGGTCATTCTCTGATCTCGAAGTTACAAACTGTTTCCCCTATTAGCTCAACTCTAAGCACCCATCGTCCTTACTGTTCCAGCTCGTCCCCTCTAGCAGCCTAACTCCAGAAGCGTTGACCAACCTCTCCCCAAGGCCTGGCTGGTTGGTCCTACCCCACCTCACTATGCTCCACACCCTGCATGGCACCATTTCTACCCTGGCCAGCTTGGGTTTCATGGGCCATTACAACTTCTTTCTCAGAACTCCTGTTAACCCTTTTCCAATGTGTCCCTGGGCGATTCCCACGTTCTGCCTGCTCTGTAAGTACAGCCGCAGGGTTGAATCCACACTGGCTGGTGGGTTTCAAACTCGATCCTTGACGACTGCTCCCAACAGGATCTAATCCTGTCACACAACCCAGAAGTACTTCCCCATCCATTCATCCCCCACCATATGCCTGGGTCACATACCCTCTCTCCTCAAACAGGCCTCCTCATCCTTCCTATCAGCTGATGAGGGAACTTCCCATTTCACTGAAATAGAAGTTGTCAGAAGGAACTTGTTCCCCAGCCACATATAGCTGCCTGCACCTGCATGGATCCTGCTCATGCGGAGCGGGCACTGTGCTCCTGGCCAGGTCACCATCACTCATGACCTCCCTCCCATGTCAGAGACAGCTCCATCAGTTGTCCTCTTCCTCCCCAGCCTCAGCAGTCTCCCCTTTTCTCCTAGACCTTTCCCATCAATATACAAACAAGTGAAATTTCTCCCTCCTTAAGAAAAAAACCTTGACTTTCCCATTTCCTTCCAACTAACATCCTATTAACCTGCTCCCCTTAAAGCCAAACTCCTCCAGAGTTCCATCCGTGCTGTCTCCAGTTTCCCTCTTCCCTCCTCTCTTGAATGCACAGCAGTCTTCTCTGCATGGGCACTCCACCAAGACAGCGCTACACTCCGCCGGTCACCGTGGAATCTCAGTGGTCAGCCCGAGCAGCATCCCTCACAGTGGGTCACGCTCTCTGCTCACTTGCCTCCACAACACCACACCCACCTCAGTGTGCATCCGCCCCAGCAGCCTCTTCCTCCACACCTTGAGCTCTGCAGAACAGAACATGCAGGGCTTGGGCCTGGGACAGATACTCCTCTTGCTCTGCACTGCACCCCCTGCGACCTGAACTAGTCCATGCTTTAACACCATCTGGACATCAAAGCCGACAAATTCACCTCCCCAGCACCAGGTCTGCCTGTGGAGTCCACACTCGTGTTCCTACTCAGACATATGATGTCCAGCTGAAAATGTTCAAAAGCCTTGTGACTTTCATACTAAAGAAACAAAAATGAAAGTGTCCACTCCTCTGCACAGCCCTGCTGCCTCAGCACAGGAAAGGGCGCTCCATGCTTCCTGCTGCTCAGTGCCCCACCTGAGGGGCTTCCCTGTGCCTGTATAAAATGGAAATGCCCCCCCCACCTCTGGACCCTTCTCTGTCCTCCCTTTCTGCTTTTTCTCCATAAAGCTTATCTCCTTTGCCATCACATTTTCTTTAATTCTTGTTGGTTCCTTATCAGCCTTCCCCTGGACACAGGTGTGGGCTCTGATCACCTTTGCTCACTCCTGCGCCTGACACAGTGCTTGGCACACGATGCCCTTGGGAGGGCTGGGGGCATGACTTCCTGTAATTGTGTGGCATCACCTTCACCAACAAGGACATGCTAATCCCTTTAATGAGTTTCCTCTCCTTTCTCCCCAGACACTGGTACACACCACCACCATTCTCCCTTGAAGGCTCAACTTCTTCACTTTGGGCATAAGACCTTATGTCTTATTTCCTGAAAAAAATAATTCTGCAGTGAATGGGCATGAGGTGACTCACTGTGCTCCACCTGTCCAGCCAAACTCAGCCACATCCTTATGCCCTTGCCTTCACTTGTGTGCCCAAGCTGGGCCTCCCTCCCCCTCCTCCTCTCCAGGACAATGACAGACATATGATCCCAACCTCTTTGTCCCACTGGGACCCCCCACTATTCTCAAAGTCTGCCTGTCCTACTCGCTGCACCCTCTCTGAAAG